ATAACCGAAGCTTGTTGCGGCTCGACGGCATATATCGCGGTATTGGAGATGAAGAATGAAATTGGAACTGCCCATGCAGATCCTTTCATTCAAGCTGGCCTCTCCTATCGCCGTTACTGGGGGTATTCTGGTGCATTACAAATATGTCCATGTGTAAAATCTGATTGGTATCTATCAGGACAAGTCATTAGAGAATGTTCCTATTGCCCAACCATCATTTTAGCAATTGCCGGCCTGTGGAGGTGTGTCTCTGGTGCTGTTTACCTTGAGAAAGTGGTGGTGCAACCTTAAACAGGCTACATCTGGCTTGGAGGTAGTGTTTTCGACGAGGACCAACTTCACTTCACCTTAAGGCTATTCACTGCACTGAAGTTGGCCATCTCCACACTCCGCAGCTACTACCTGACACTTGGTCCCACTAACAAATGCCCAGAAGACCTTGTTCATGCAATCCCTTATGTTACCCCTTCATTTGCATCAACATTGACCTATATTTCACGACCTAGTCCGGATCAGCAGAGCAAGCTTGTGTACAAGGCTAAGTTTATCCATGCTGGTTCTAGTCGGCCAGCAGTTGTCAAGTTTGTGTCAAGATATAATGCAAAGGCACATTGAATTTTGGCTGCGCACCAACTTGCACCAACCCTGTATCACACTGGCACAGAGGACGTGGACACATCAAAGTATATGGTGGGCTGCACATGGTTATCATGGACATCATAGAGGGGAAGCACCTGGATGGCATGCTTGCAAGTGATCAGTATCAAAAGAGTATCAAAAGGTGAAGAAGGCCATCGACTTGCTGCATGGTCATGGTTTTGTGTTTGGAGATTTTCGAACGCCAAATATTCTGATCAATGGTGAAAATGTAATGCTCATTGACTTTGATTGGTGTGGAAAGGCAGGTGAATCTCAGTATCCTGTGACGATCAATCTGGATCCTAGGATAGGTTGGCCAGAGGGTGTGGGGCTGGATAGTGTGATGGAAATGGAGCATGATCAGTTGATGCTAGAGCAGCTGAGACCTCCTAGCCTTGATAGATAGATACCACACATAGAAATCAGACAAGGGTAGTCTGAACTTGTATATTTGTACTTATAACAGATAATAGATATATTGATCACGATCTGCTGTAGCAATGCGAGGCGCTTTGAAATGAGTAAGTAATGTAAGGATAGTCAGAGCAGCTCTGGGCCGGAAACCTTTTGCCTTCTCACTCGTTTGACCACCCATCCCAAACACTCACGCTTTGTCTCCACCGTTCTTCATACCCGTTCGTCATCCCTTCATAGCACCTGCCGCTTCACTATTCACCAGGTCTGGGATTCTTCTCACTCCTTCAAGGTTCAAATCAAGAAGTACTCGCTGAGGCATCCCACTTCAAGTTCCTTTCAGGTTGTCGTTTCCTGCCACAGTCACCATTGTATCGTCAATCGTCAAAGGACGAAATGCCAGTCAGGGTAGTATCGAAGGATGGGTATTGTCGTGCGTCATGGACTACTTAAATCTTCCTTTCATAGTCACACCCATGAAGCAGGTCCTCCTTTATACGAAACTTTACTTCTTGCATACTAAACTTGGCATTCGACGTATCAACCCGTTCGACGCATTTCGGCCTCATCGACCCATATCAATGACTACTAACAATCCCTTGTCCTTTACTCTTTTCTTTCTCTCACCGAATCTCTCCGCTTCAATCCCAGTTGATCTTACTCGATCTCACGACCGTACTCCCTGATTTATACCGATACAACGTGGATTCCTTTATCACTTGAAATGTTGTCTCGTTGCCTTGCTCCCTACTTCCGATCCCCCTTTCTTTTGTCCACTCAGGGATTCTGGTTGGTTCAAGGCAACGAAAAGAGCCCTGCCCTCACATCACATCACCCATCTTTATAAATATCGACGGGCAACAGTAGCAGCTCGTACACATTCGTCTCCACGAGAGAAAGTGATGATTATCGCGATAGTTAACAAGCCAAGTTGATAGTGCTGCGTGAGGGGTACCATTTTACCTCGACGACTATCTCCAGAATTACCTTTGTCATCGTTGCTGTTGATCGCACTTGGGTGTAAGCCTCAACGCGTTTGAAAAGGGTTTCGATCCTCTGGAAAATGTCGATGAGTGCGTCTTGACTAGTACCAACATCCTTAGCTGCCTGGAAGATCTCCTTGAGTTTTTATCACTTTCGCTGGGGAGAATACCTGAATATTAAATATGAGGACGGTGGCGTCCACATGGTTAACTTTACCTTTACCAAGGGGAGCAGAAAACGCATAGATCACATTCACGGTGCCTCTTGTAGGCATTGAAGGTAGCAATGAAGGTTGCCTGAAAGACGATGAGGTAGTGGTAGTGTTGATTGTCGGGGTTGAGGAAATGGAGACACTGGTAGGTGGTTGATTAAGTTAGTAGTAGGAAATGAAAGGTGCGTGCAGTGAAACACAGGTTCACTGGATGATGTATTGATGATAAGTAGTGGTAATTGAAGTCACTGTGTTAATTGGAATACTGTATATGGCAGATAGACACTCGTAGCGGTTGAGTAGGCGGGGACGGTAAGAGCTGCTGCCTCAGAACGATCACGTGATGGGAAAGTCGGAGAAGCAAATCAGACGCGTCTTGGTTTCTTGGTTCTCTCTCAAAGTTCAACCAAATCCTCTTTGCCTTACCCCCGTCTTCTCAGATTTCGCCGGCTGCCAATCTCATTAATATCATGGTGGGTAGATTTCCTTATCCAAATTTTACTAATATAGCTTCTGATTTATGAAAAGTCTATTCCTTATACTGCCATGCGTCGTCTTATGCGAGAGCTGAAAGAGCTCAGGACGGAACCTCCGGAAGGCATCCGCGTTCAGTTGAGCGAGGAGAGTATACTGGACGTTGTCGGTATTATTGAAGGCCCAGGTAAGTCCCTAGGGAGAAAACCACTAATCCGGACCAGGCAATGACGGGATTTTGCAGAGGGCACGCCTTACCAAGGAGGCTACTTTCGCGTGAAGTTCGAATTCACAGAGGAGTTTCCCGCGACACCACCGAGATGTAAGACCTATGTCTTCGTATTTAACTTCTGTCTGTATTCATGCAAACTGCCAGGTTGGTTTGCGACCAAGATTTTCCACCCGAACGTCTCGAGTTCAGGGGAGATTTGTGTCAACACCCTCAAGAAGGACTGGAAATCATCATACGGCATCGGACACATCCTTGTCACTGTCAAGTGCCTACTCATCTATCCGAATCCTGACTCGGCGCTCGACGAGGAAGCAGGCAAACTGCTACAGGAAAATTACGAGAGCTATTGTGAACGCGCAAAGCTCATCACGAGTGTGCACGCGACACCCAAAGTAGGTTCCCGTTCCGCGTTCCGCGATCGTGTTCAAAGATTGGCCAGTTGAGCTGAGCACTTTCCCTGTACTCAGGTCCCTCCACCAGAATTTACCACACAATCTGTCCTGGCCAACATTCCTGATGCACCCGCACCCATTGTAGCCTCACTTCCATCCACGTCATCCCTATCATCTCTATCGCCGTCCTCGTTACTCTTATCGCAGAAAGGTGTCATTACGGCAGCAACTGCGACTATTCCATTACAGCAGTCCGCGTCAAACACGTTCTCACTATCGTCCTCACTTTCATCGCTTATAAATACGGCAAGTGAGAAGGAGAAGGACCGTCATGCATCACCCGCGCCTCTGGGAACAGCGGATTCGAACGTTGCTCCAGTAATTAATCCGGGTAGTGCAGGTGCCATATTGAGTCCGGCAAAGGCAGTCAAACGCGGTGCAGCGCCAGGGGTAGCAGCAGGCGAGAAGCGCAAGAAGGCGCTCAAACGGTTGTAAATGATCACGACTGCGTGTGTTCTTTAGGCCGCTTTATCTGCATAGTTTTGTTTGGATTTGGATGAATGAGAGATAGATTCGCGCCCTTGCGAAGTGTTTCACGTTCATTAAGAGGCGAACTGAAGTGTCGTGGAGCCGAGCTGGCTGTCTTGGGCTAGTTTAAGGACGGTGTCTGTTGTCCGACTAGAGCGGGTGAGCGGGTGGGCCGCCGTGTTCATAAGTTTGGGTTTGTTTGGCTCACCGTTGAGCTGAAAAGGTTAAGGGCTGAGGCAGAAGAAAGCCTGACAGTACAGGCAGGGAGTTATTTCATGAAAGCTAAAATAGGGTTGAAATAGCAACAGAATAAATAATTTCATGTCAGTAAAAAAGGATGACAAAATGCAGAGAAATGATGCATTTCAGGTACAGGTTTCTAATATAATTTTGATAAACGCAGCTGTAAAAAGGGGTTAGGCTATCTATTTAGATAGCAGATAAGTTCGGTTCTTGTGGTCAAAAACTGTATATTTATTTGGGTGCCACCCTGGAAGCGCTTAATATAATCGATTTCAAAGAAGAAAAAAAACTGTATATTTATTAGTATCTTTGCCTATTTGGACAGCGGATAAGCTATTACTAAGCGTTAGCTAACTATGGAAGATATTCAGTTCTTGTGGTCAAAACTGAAGTGAACGCGTACAAAGTAAAGTCCTTATATACTACTAAAAGAGCGTGAAAATAAAAAAGGAAACATAACTAATCAATTGTGACATGATACGAGGGATGTGTTGTGCGTGCAATGTGGAATTGTTTCTGAATCAGTTCAGTTAATGGACGCACTTTAGATTATCTTATCACGATCAATAGATCGTCTGGCGGTCGCTACCGGCCCGTCTCAACACGAGCGACGCAGACGCGCTCGTTTTAACACCCATATGGATGATGTCATTGGTGGTGTGATTGATGATGTCATTGGTAGTGTGGCGGAACTGAGCAACTAACATGGTGAACGTTTATCTGCACATAGAAGACCGACAAGTTCTCGCACTTTCAATCCCCTTGAGTGACATAGAGAGGCTTTCCTATTGAGAATTGCCTGAAGCCTAGTAATGACACACTGTACATGGGTGGACTGGTTGTGGCTAGGGCACAATACACAGAAACCACCTTGGAGGCCTAAGGCTGTGTGGCTCAGCGGTTAGAGCGCCAGTCCTAGTATGTCTGGGGGTCTTGTGTTCAATCCCCAATCTGGCATATTGCTGAAGCTTACCTATACTCCTGAGGGTAATATTCACAGATCCCATATTTGTTGCTTTGCTAATTTACATCCCTATAGCAGATTATCATCTCATCAACCACAATGCAATGAATGATTGAATCACCCCCTCTGAGCAAATGCTATGTTCTTCATGTTTCCACCATGATGTCATGGCATGCAATGGCCCTGTGTGCATCTTCACATATTAATGGCAAAGCATGTGATGCAGCACACCTACTCCCCAAAAGCAAGGGTGATGGGGTATGTCCTGGATGCGCATTTTTGGCATCCCGGACCGCTTGAAAGCCATCCTGAGGGCGCGTGCGTTATACAAGTCGACCTTCTTAGACTTAGATAAGATAAGAAGGAGTTCGGACCGATCTGACCCGGTCCACGCGATGCAAAGTAGTCGCTGCCCTATGCAGCAATGGACATTATAGATACACGCGGCCTTTGTTTGAGTAATACAATTTGATGATTTGATTATAGAGTGATCCAAAGTAGTCTAGTATGTATTTTAGATAATGCCAGACCGGCGGAAAGGATCGCGCGTTAGTAAATAAGATGTGTCAGGGCACTCAGGAGAGCGGGCCACTGATAACTAATTAGATTTACATCGCACGCTCAATCGGCTTTGGTATTTCATAGAGTAGTACTAGGACATATTTAAAGACACCCTGTAGCACGCTGCAGACCCCATCTTGTCCTCTTGGGGCTGTAGGTGCGCTTTATCACTTTATCTTTGTATTTACTTAGGCCCAGCTAATCTTGTCCTCTTGGGGCTGTAGGCTCTTAGCAAAGTTCAATATAGGTCTATTCTTGCTGCATAAGCAAGGCAGAGTCCTCTGACTGCTTCAAGCCTTACGTGTGCATTAATCTCCGCGTTCTGGGCAGCTTTCCGACAAGGCATTTTCACCTCTGAAGTTTTACTACGATCTTTACATCTAATCTTATCAAACATAGCAAGCGCGGGATAGAAGCACCCGTTACAGGGTATATATCAGTCACCATTGTTCCATGTCACTGCCTTGCTAAACCCCTCCTAGTACATTGAGGTTGTTCTTCAAGATCATCTCAACTTGTGCAACCCCACTTTAGAACCTGATATTCCCCTAGACAACCAAGAGGGAGAAATCACAGCTCAAACATCTCAGATGGAATGCTTCATGCAATAGACAATGTCCTTGCACTCTCCATGTTGGTCAAGGGAACCACTCCTGAAATGATGGCCACAGAAAGACAGAGACAAGAGGAAGCAGAAGAGTTGTGTGTGAAGGAGGCTAGTTGAGTGAAAGTGCAGGAGTGGATGCAAAGCTCTCTGTGCGTTCTCTCTTACCTCTGGGCTATTTCCCACTAGAAGCTGATCTTAGATTAAACAGAGATATCAAACAGTCAAACGCAGCTAGTAGGCATCACAAAAATCTCCTACCATGAATTAAGAGAAGTTACCTATCAATACCATTTCATAAATAACCATAAATTACTTAACGCGATGGGTTATTTGCTGAAGGACATTTGACATAGTTTCACTTAAATTGAACTAAACTAAGTAAGACTGCTTAGTTTGCCATGACCACTGAGGTTTACATGGTGAAATTGAACTTACTCCTCATGTGGAACAGGCATGGCGCAGGCTTGTACTTAGATACTATACTACTACTATATATCTCACCTTGTTAGATGTAGAGGCTTAGATGGAGTCGATAATGCAATAGCAACTACTTTATCTATAGCAGCTATACAATTGGCTAATGAGCGCGGATGTGATTGGATCACATGCTCAATCTGAGATGTGAGATGTATATGCTCAGTATCGGACCGCTATCCCGGTAACTCTGTACCAGTATTCAGGTTCTGGTTCAACATTCAACACCTCGTACGTTATCCCGCCACCCCACCTATGACGTCCCCTCCGGGCATAACCACCCCCTCTGGTCCGCCGCGACTAAACCCCGGGGCGTAGATAAAAAAACCCTACACCCGGCTTACCACGCCACTGGCCATGCTTTCATTGCTGAGTACACTGAGCGTTTCCACCCAAGAAAACCCCCCCTCGCACGCCTTTGTACCTGCGACGACTCCATCCCTGCCACCTTTCCTCACATTCTTCTCCACTGCCCCCTCTACTCTGTCAGTCGACACACTCTCCAGTTTCTCCCTGACTGGGCCCTGGAACAAGACCCTGTGCCATGGCACATCCTCTTCAATTGCAAGCCTTTCGTCGAAGACTTGCTCACCTTCACCCAGGACACGCGGGCCTTCACAAGGCCATTTTCGTCAGAGCGACCTCGCGAGCCGGATTTAATTTGAGTTGGTGATGTCGGGTAGTATAGGTACGTTCACCTTTACACTTTGGTCCCCGCCTCTACCTCCCACTTCCCCTCTTTCCTTTCCTTGTCGTTACACACTCACCTTTCTCCACCACATTTCCCCCTACCAAGGGGTTTCACTTTACTTCCTACTTGCACAGACAGTAGCTATTATGTACTGGTAATAGCCGCGCGATTTAGGCACAGCCTTGAAGCACGAATAAAATCGATTCCAAAAAAAAAGAAAACACCTTGTACGTTTGCACTTGACTTCGGACTCCTGGTTTCTGCCCATTCACCGCCTATAGAGAGAGACTCATTGGCTGACAGACAACACCGGCGACTGCGGGAAGATGGAAAGTTGTGCCAATGTAAAGAGGAATCGGGTGGTATCAATTGTAACAGTATGTCTACTGTTCAAGGCCGAGTGACATATGAACTCCTACGCGACAAGTCTGCCAGAACGACAACTCCTGCAAAGGTTTCCCTCTCCCCATCGGTATACCTTCAACTACCCAAGAAGGCACTGCCAACATGACTTGCTACAAGGGCGGTGAGACCGTGTTCAATAACCACTAAATGTGCAACCTCACGAGTCAGATGCGCTGGGTCCCACATTGAAAATCATTAGCTCACACGCACGCCAGATTGCAAGATCCTAGATATCCTTCCCAATAGACCGCCTCAGGTCACATTCAGTTGTGACGTCAGCAACCATACCCGCGCATTACAGTTTTGGACCGCTGAAGTGGGATCGTTTTTCTGTGTGCTAGATCAATGCGAGTCCAAGACGAAGGTTGGATACGAGTTCAATTCGACTTCTTACAATTGCAAGACAATGAAGTGCAGTTGCGTACCTGGCCGCTTTATCCACGGAGAGGATGGAAGTGTAGGTGAGCGGTGTTTTGACGCGTCGATGACGCCTATATCTCACTTATTCATCTAGATATTGGAGAGTTTTTACGAGACAAGATCATTCTCTGTCAATTTTAATTTCATCGTCCAATTCAAGTAGAACCCCTAGACAAGCTTGCGCAATGATAGCATGTGCATCCTCCAGGTGAATCTGATACCATGACACATCTTCACTTGATCTCGACAGCCGCTTCGATGTCAGGAACTCCTTCACCGAGAAGTGCGAAAACTGCACCACCCGAGAACCTCCCTCTCCTACGATCCCCACCAAACTCGAGCATGCAGACAGCACAGCTTCTTCCTGATCTTGCCACCGCCAGTCCGAGTTTAATTTTGGGATCCCTCCCATGTTGAAATCAACAGCAAGCACCTCAGCGAGTTCCTCCACACGGAGCGGTCGAACTGCCACAGTGAGGCATTGCAGCAGGCGATGAGCGTGCCCTCGGTTCGCCTTGTTAATTTCCCTGAGCACCCGTTCATATGTTCGTCCAGACTTTCAGGCAACTCCTCCAGGATACTCCGCACACTTGGTGGGAAGCAGTGCCGTAGCACTTCGAGCTGGCAGAACACCCATCGAAACCTGTTCTCCAGCGTAAGAACGTGTCATAGAGGTGGATGCAGTGCTCGTCCTTACATTCCGTCCGCCTTTTCGGACAACTTCTCGATCACCAGAACCTTGTCCTCCTCCCGCCATCTCCGTATCCTTTTATCCGAGTGAACAACAGAGCTGACATAGTCCACGATGTCCTTCTTCTGTCCACTCGTTATGAAGCGATACGGGGTGGGCGATAACAGTTCAAGGGTAGATCGAATGTCGATCTCCGGCCGACTGGTAACGCATATGCGCAGATTCGGGAGGTCAAGCCCAACAAGATGACTCACAAACTCGAGCACCTCTTCGCGGGGAGATGGCATCCCAGAAGTGTTCGGACATTCGTCAAGCGCATCGATGATAATATAACTTGGATCTTGACCTGAAAGGGAAAGCGTTTCTTTCAGGGATTCTGTTAAAACGACATCACTAGGCTTCTGTGCGCCAAAGTCGTGTGCCAAATAAAGACGGGAGAGTATGTCGCAACGAGGAATGGACCGAGCAGAAAGCTGAATAAGAAGAGATGGGAGCAAATTGCGGAGATTTTGCTTATTGAGATCCCTAAAGTCGAAATAGAAATATCCCATAGATGCTGTTCCAGCGACTTGCAGGGCCATGATGTCCTGGATGATGGCAGAGCTGTAAAATATAAATAATATCAGCACAAGTAGTGGTGATAGGATGATGGGAAAAAACGAACCAGAGAATACTCTTCCCGGAACCCGCTAGCAAGAACAATTAACCCCTGGCGCGTGATATATCTCGAGTCACGACCTACGTTTCCCATGAATCCACAACAACGAACCAGTCGACTTCCATTCATTAAAGATCCTCCCTTCGAAGAACCATCCAGCCGTCCCTTCGTGGTGAGCTTTACGTGCAATGTTGTGGTTTGTGGACGGATCAGCCGGCGAGAGCCATGTCCGTAGCTTCTCTCGCAGCTCGTTTCCTATCACCGTGAAATGTTCCTTCAGGTTCCACAACAATCGAATGTTCACAATAGAGGATTGGGATTACGAATGATTTTGATCCTCTAGTTCATTCGCCATTTGTTGAACTGCTGTTCTGGTCTCTGTCCTGGATGCGCATTTTTGGCATCCCGGACCGATTGAAAACCATCCTGAGGGCATCACGCTATTGCGTGTCTTGCAGAGTCGACCTTCTTAGACTTAGATAAGATA